AGATAAGATGGGCTGAAAACAGATAAGATAAGATGGACTGTACTAGCTAGAATCCGATGAGAACACCAAATCACTGCTGTTGCCGGCGGCGATATTTCTTCCCAATAAACGCGTCTATATCATTACTCCCCTCCTGGACTAAGAGCTTGTCCTCAAGCTCGAAGCCCGGATACGTGTCTTGGAACTCAGTCAAGGGGAGCCAGGTGGCCTCGGCTGATGGCAAGCCGTCCCATTCCACCAGGACTTCGAGAACACCTCGATTGATTCTAGAGCGAACCAGGGCCCGAGGTTGGGGGATGAGTTTGCCGTCTTTCAAGGGTGGTAAGGGGGGAACTCGGTCAGGAGGAATACCCGTAAACGGTTTGAGCAAGGAAATGTGGAAAACATCACGGATTCTGCTGTGCTCTGGCAGTTCCAATTGGTATGCAACCGTACCGATCCGCCGCAAAACCTTGAAGGGTCCATAAAATTTAGGAGCTAATTTAGGAGCAGCCCTATGGCGCAAGGAGCATTGCCGATAGGGCTGAAGCTTCAATCACACAAACTGTCCTGGGTCAAATGACAATTCCCGATGATGCTGGTCCTAGGCATGCTTCATGCGAAGTTGTGCCTGTTGCAAGCGAAGAGAAACTTCAGCTAGAAGGGCATCGCGCTCTTGTAGGGAACGATCAATCTCCTCCAAACGAGTTGAACCGGGCTCATAGGATAACAAACGAGGAGGGTCACGGCCATAGACGACCCGGAAAGGTGTCATTCCGAGGGAAGAATGATAGGCAGTGTTATAACAATACTCGGCCCAAGGAAGCCAATCAACCCACCGTCGCGGTTGATCTCCGACAAAACAACGGAGATACATTTCGATCGTACGGTTCACCACCTCCATTTGGTCGTCTGTCTGAGGATGATACGCGGAGGAAAAAGATAAGGCGGTACCATGTAACTGAAACAATTCCTTCTAGAAGGCACTAGTAAAAACTGGGTCCCTGTCGCTGACAATAGATTCCGACAACCCATGTAAATGGAAAACATGTGTAAAGAAAACGTGGGCGACTGATGTAGCGCTGTACGGATGTGACAGAGGGATGAAATGGGCGTACTTAGAGAAGCGATCCACAACCACGTAAAGAACTGATTTTCCGCCAACCTTGGGTAGGCCCTCAATGAAATCCATGGAGATATCAGACCAGATTTGTGCTGGAATCGAGAGGGGCTGAAGAAGGCCAGCCGGGTGTAGATTCTCCCATTTGTGCTATTGACACGTGGAGCAATTATGGATAAAGTCCCGAATAGAAGTTTTCATACCTTGCCAATGGAAATCAGCTTGGACGCGATGCAGTGTCTTCTGAATGCCTTCATGGGTGGAGTTTTGAATACTGGAGATGATGGAGGGAATTAAAGAGGAATCTGCTGGAAGATGCACCTTGTAGTGCACCATCCCGTCATGAAGGGACCAAGTGGAGTCGGCGGCTCCGGACTGAATTTTCTGAACAAGGGTCGTCCACTCTGGTGATTGTGGCAACGCCTTCTTGATGTCGTCTAACAAGGTGATTCGGGGATGGGAAATCCCACAAAGGAGCATAGTGTCTTCGTCACGCCTAGACAAAGCATCCGCGACGCGATTTAAGGATCCCGCCTTGTAGTCTACCCGGAAATCAAAACCAAGTAGCTTGCTAACCCAATGTTGTTGAGGAGAAGTGGTGAGTTGCTGCTCCAACAAGTACTTGAGGCTATAGTGATCAGTTTTGACGACGAATGACCTTCCCTACAAGTACTGTCTCCAGTGTTGGACTGCTCTAGCTAACCGAATTAGTTCGCGTTCGTAGGCGGGTAATTTTAAATGTCGGTCCACAAGTTTGCGGCTAAAGAAGGCAATCGGGTGCCTTTGTTGCTGTAATACGACTCCAATACCTATTCCGGATGCATCGCACTCGACTGTAAACTCGAGGTCAAAGTTTGGCAATTGCAGAACTGGGGTGGAGGAGAGGGCATCCCTTAAATTTGCAAAAGCTGCATCGGCTGCGTCGTCCCAACGAAAGGCATTCTTCTTTAGCAGGTTGGTTAATGGGGCAGCCAACAAGCCATAATTTTGTACAAATTTGCGGTAGTATCCTGTCAGACCCAGGCACCATGAAGTTCATCCAACAGCTCGTCCACAATGGGAATAGGGAATTTATCCTTGATAGTTTGGTTATTGAGCTCTCTGTAGTCCACACGAAACCTCCAAGTGCCATCCCGCTTTGCTACCAACAGAACCGACGAGGAGAAGGGAGAACGGCTAAGGCGGATGATCCCCTGTTTCATCATTTTAGCACACTGCTTCTCTATCTCGTCTTTCTGCAGATGTGGTAGCGATAAGGCCGGACGACGACTGGTTCTGAACCCGTCACCAGAGGGATCCGATGATCGCACGCTCGGGAAGGAGGAAGTCCCTTGGGTTCTTGGAACACATTTGAAAAATCGGTGAGGAGCCTTTCCATATTCGCCGTATGCGTCGTTTCCCCCTGAAGCGTATGAACCTGTGGTTTTTTTGCTTCTACCCTGGTTCCCTGCCAAGTAACTCGTTTCCCATTCAAGCGGAGTGTCATTGTTAGGGCGCTGAAATCCCATAGGATTGGGCCTAGGGTGATCAACCATTTTACTCCAAGAACTATATCAAATTCATCCAAGGATAGCACAAATAAATCAGCAGAGAAGGATTCAGACTCGACCTGTATTTGGGTGTCTTTACAGATTCCGTGACTGTGAACCCTTTCACCGTTTGCTACGGCTACCTGCAGTCTTGGTGTGATTTCCATAGGTAATTTCAACTGAAGGGCAGCTTGCTCACTTACAAAATTGTGTGTGCTTCTTGAATCAACGAGGATCCGTACTGGTTTCCCTGCCACCTGTGCCTGTAACTGCATAGTCTGAGAGGTCTTTATTCCGGTGATTGCGTGGAGGGAGATCTCGGGTTTGAACGCTGCAGGTTCATCCTCGTCTTCCTCTTGTTCGTTCACCAGGAGGCAGAAAAGTCTCTTGCACCTGTGTCCCGCCGAATAAAGATTGTCGCAGTTGAAATACTGCCCCCTTGCCCGGCGATCTGCCATCTCGGCTATGGACAAACGTTTAATGGGGGGTGCCACCGTGCTGCTTCCCATACTGGATGCTGACTTGGGGACGTTGCTCGTATGAGGCTTTCGGCTAGTTGCAGAAGAAGGGGCCATTCCAGGTGTTTTCGGGGGTGCCCATGATGTCGGCTGCCACCCCATACTGAAGGTTCCGTGGCTGAGCTGCAGCTTGCGTTCGAAGGCGCGAGCTAGATTCATGGCTGAAACTAGGTTGGGGGGGTGTTGCATATCCACGTCCACCCTCAAGGGTTCTGCTAACCCTGTGGTGAACATGTCTACCTGCTGGTCCGGTCGCACCGAAGCTGCTCTGGCAAGGAGAGTCTGGAATTGGCGTTGGTATTCAGCCACTGTTCTCGTCTGTTTGAGGTTGATCAGTTCACCTAACGGGTTGCTCGTCAATGGGGGCCCAAACCTGAGGAGGCAGTAGGATTTGACTTGGGTCTAACTGAGCCCTGGTTCCTCCTGTTCCAATCGATAGAACCAGAGCTGCCCCTCTTCCGTCAAGTCGAATGCAGCTAGGCTAACCTTGTCTCTGTCCTCCGTTAGCTAGGCTAACCTTGTCTCTAACCTTGCCGTTGTAAGAAGGAAACTCCAGTCTGCTGTACTTGGGAACGACCGCGGCTACCGGGGCAACGACCTGCTGTTCGTCGGACGATTCTGTCAGGTCTGGTCGGCAGCTGTTTGTGGTTCAGCCCCTTCTGGATTCCTTTCCTTGTTAGAGAAATACAACTCCATCAAGCGCCGTAACTTTTGGACATCGTCCTTGATCTCGCGTACCTCCGTGCTGTTCTCCACAAGCCTGTGCTCCAGTTCGTGGACCCTGGACGTCAACTGCTCCAGATCGCCCATGACGTTTGGCTCTGATACCAAATTGTTAAGGGCCCGCGAATAGGATCTCGTCACGGGTCGGTCCACGGGGAAAACCTCCTGTTTTCCCTTGTTCCTCCCTTTCCTTGAAGAACCTAT